TCCTAAAAAGGTTTCTATGATCAAAAAGATTTGGGAAACAGTGCACGTAGCCAGTCTTCCTGAATACTGATAGTGCACATTGGCATATTAAAGGCTTCTAGAAGTTCTACAACCATGTGTGTGTGTTTAACTTACCTCGTTGTTTCTCAAACTTAGTGAATCACAACATCTTCTTCAAATATAAACAAAAGTGAATCAAAACACATTTCGAGAAGTATTGTTCTTAGATTTTTCATCCTTAGTCTCTTTCCCCATGTGAGACAACTCTAGACTTCAAGACACATTTCTCCAACCTCTTTCCCAAGCTCCCCCAACCACAACTCTAAAATAAGCCAAGAGCATGGCAATAACTCGATCAGTTCCTGGGATATTGTACATCAACTCTGATCTGAAGAGAATTCATGTACCACTAATAAACAGTTCACTTCCCATTCCCATTGGTCTTTAGTCTCCCCCACAACACCAGCCAAAGTCTTTGTCAACTAAGGAGGACTCTTGCATTTTGTTGTTATTGTTGTGGGGATTTTTGGTGGTGTTTTGTTCTTTGGGGGGGGGGGGGGGGTTGTGTGTGTTTTTTAAGTGGACATCTTTCCATTAGAAACTCAGCACTGGCTGAGGCGCCAATTAATTTTGCATAAGCTGCCACAGGACCATTAGATGCTAATCCGTTCATCCATAACCACAAGGTATTGTGTTAGGGTCATGTACATGACTTGTGCCTCCAGCCCTGTGGATTTATTTAGTGCTAGTTCCTGCAGCTGTGTCCCTTCAATGACTGCTTTATGGTGGCCAAGAGAGTTGAGGTTGGCTGCCAGGACTCTGAGATCTGGAGAAACACATGGACACATTATTCTTTTGCTCTGAAGCTATCCAATTCCTGTTCCGGTCAGATGGGGAGATAGTGGGAGGATATCTCTGAAGCAGCCCAGCACTTACTGTGGGTGACATTACTCACGCCTGACATTATTGCAAAAGAACAAGCTTAAATCTACCCCATAGTGCATTCTTTGGTGGAAGGTTAATTTCTAATGAAAGTGTAGTAATACAAAATATGATTCTGAATGTAGTTCCTGGCTTTGTTTGTAAGAACTACTATGGAGCCATTGTTTTCTTTACTCTAAAACTACACATTGGATTCAATCTGTTTCAAATAAGAGGCCAGGAAAGAGGGCTTACTATGCTAATTGAATATTAATGAGGCTTTTGCTTAAGTTGCTCTGTATTACAATTATTCGCAACTAGAGTTCTTCTGTATTTAGGAGGAAAAATACTTCAAAGTAGCAAGATTCTTACTTAGCCTGAACATTTGGAAGAAAGTGTCTTCTACTTTTTCTTTTGTTCTTGTAACATTTGTAAAGGGTTTTGTTCAGCACTAAAGAAAAGCAAAATATCATCATCCTTATGACTGGCCTTTGTCCACAGTGGCTCTCATCCAGCCTAACCAGTGACTCTGTGGCTAACAATCTGAGTCACTAAGTTTCATATGTTTATGTATTTCAACACAATTCTCAGGCTGAGAGGTTTCTTTTCTTTTAAATTTATTTTCATGTTTCAGGACTCAGAAAGAATGAAATGCCCTTCTGTATTTGGAATCTAGTGTCAGTAAGTGACTAGCTCTGAGCAACTAAAAGCATATATTGAATTATGCCTTTAGTATTGGCTAAAGTCAGTACCAAACTGTCAAAAGATTAGCATATACTTCCAGGACAAAAGTCTTTAGCCTGGGGGAAAATTCAGGTAAATATAAATATTTGTGTTTTTACCATGGTACTGGCACAAGATAACTTCAGAATTTAAAATGCTGGGAACAAACAACTAAAAAGGGGATAAAGAGAATGACAGAAAAATGCAATAATATTTACTGGTTATTAACTTTGTAAAGATGTATGTCTATATTCTTACAGCTTCTTCAAAGGAATATCAGAAGATGGCCGAGCTAAAATATCTTATTTTATGGAAAATTCCATTATTTTAGTAATTTTCTCATTTCACTGTATCCATTCTCTTACTAGCCTCAGCTTGTCCCTGATTGGTCACCCTACACCCATCTTTAAAAGGCAATTACTGTCATTTTCTCATCAAATGACTTTACAAACATTTGGTCATACATTTTCACAGCATCTCAGATTAATAACACCTTACAGTTTTATAGCATTTTTGAAAGAATTCTCTTGCATGTTATCTCATGTTAATCTCATCATCATATGCAATAAAACAGAAATGTATTGCCCCCTCTTACAGATGAGAACATTGAGGTATATTATATTGATGTAATTGGCTTAGCCTCATTGGCTAAGGTCATATATGAATTATTACTAGAAAAAATTGGATTCCTACTGGAAATTATTCCACTAGACTTGTAACAACAATTTGAGATTTAAAAAGAATTTTGCCTTGCCCAACCAGTGTTGCTCAGTGATTGAGCATCCACCTATGAACCAGGAGGTCATGGTTCAATTCCTGGGTTGCGGGCTCGATCCCCAGTAGGAAGTGTGCAGGAAGCAGCCACCAATGAATGATTCTCTCTCATCATTGATGTTTCTATCTCTCTCTCCCTCTCCCTTCCTCTCTGAAAACAATAAAAATATACATATTTTTAAAAGAATTAATCCTGAACAAATGAGTTGTTATTCTTGGGTATTGGTCCTTGAAAATAGTATTTGTGACATCAAGTATTAATATTATTATAGTAATGCTACTCAAAGTATAGAAGTGTAATTAAATTATAACATGTTATCAACATATAAAAATATCGTAAAATGAATTCAAATTTTAAAAACAATTTGTTCATCATTCTGTAGTATTCATAGGCATTCTTATATGGGTCTCTATAGGACATTCTTGAGTGTGCATTCATAAGAGTCCTCTTGTCATCCAAGCAAGTTACATATTTTTCATTATGAACCTATTGGGTTTTACATTAATTAATGGTCATTCTAAGGAAAGAAAATTCATTTACCATTTCCCTTACATCTTCCACAGTGCCTGGGCTGGATGCACAGTTGCTGCTACCTGACTTCTGGAGAGCAGCTGCATCTGTAACTTATTTTATATATATATTTTTTTAATCGATTTTTTACAGAGAGGAAGGGAGAAGGATAGAGAGTTAGAAACATCGATGAGAGAGAAACATGGATCAGCTGCCTCCTGCACACCTCCTACTGGGGATGTGACCGCAACCAAGGTACATGCCCTTGACTGGAATCGAACCTGGGACCTTTCAATCTGCAGACCAACGCTCTATCCACTAAGCCAAACCGGTTAGGGCCTGTAACTTATTTTGAAGCCCCACGCCCATAATCTGGCCCAAGCACTCACACCAGCATCCTACTGGCAAGTTTGATTTTGCAGGAATAAGAGGCTATAACGGGGTGGCTCCTCGACCACCTGAATCACACTCACTTAGTGTCTCAGCAACACAGACTCCTGAATCCCACTAGCAGGCGCAGGTAGGGTGCTGGCCTGCCGAGTCTTATGAACCCTAAAGTCTGATCAGCAGAACAGTACCAGCACTTCTCATTTCTGGAAGTTTTACTCACATTGACTGTAAAGCTGGTTCCTGGGCTTGGTCGTTGACAATGAACATAGAAGATGGTCCTTTGCCTTTGGGAAAAGAGGTGAAAGGAAGGCTAACGTGGCCCCAAACAAGGACCTCTGACAATTCTTAAGGAAATGTTTACCTGTGCACTAGGCAACAATAGCACCCAGTTTAATGGGCGCCGGTGGACCAGCATGGTTTCTAGTCGGAGCCATCCAAGGAGCTGCCTTCCTTCCACTGCGCAGGCCTTTAAGAGGGACCTCGTCTGAAGGACTATTTTTCCAACCTAGAGCGACATTAGCTGATTGATAACAATTTGCCCCAAACCAGGCAAAATCAGCATTCCTCTCTCTGCCGTGTGCCAGAACCCCAAGATAAACAAAACTGTCTTTTAGAGAGGGGAGAGTCAGAAAGCTGTATTCAGCCCAGGGCTTCACACCCATCGCAGGGCGGCAAAGGGCGGGGCAGGATAGCACAGGCCGGAGAATGAACACACGTACAACGGGGAGAATGAACACATATATAAAAGGGAGAATGAACACATATATAACGGGGAAAGCAGGGCCCTTGAGAAATGGACAAAGACCCTGAGCATCCGGTGGGGAAGGCTGGGGTTAGGGGTTGAATCGACGAAGATTCGTAAAAGGACTTCTCACCTGAGGAGAGTGATTGCTTTAAACTGCAACCTGAAACACTCAAAATCTAACAGTATGTTTTTACAAAAAATGGTAAAGCAGATAATTTGTAAAAATCTCTCCCCATTCCCCCCTGCCGCCCTTGCCAAATGATATAAAGGAGAGGTCCTATCTCAAAGTCCGCGCCTTAACGCGGTGCGGTCCTACGTAAAAGCAATCGCGTGGTTATTTCAGACCCCTAGCTTGGCGGTTCGAGGATGTAGAAAACATTTCCAGAGAGTTTCCTGCACAGCCCTACTTCGATTACGTCCTAGAACGCAGGCTCCTTGGTGTATTTATTTGGGATGAAAAGCGCATAAAAACTAGCAAGGACATTGTTAGCCCGGAGCTGGGACGGCAGACTTAGGGGCAAGGAACCACTTTCTCTTCCTGTAAAAATCGAGCCGCCGGCAGCCTCAGCCTCCATCTCCCGAGTCTCAGAGGGGCGCGGACCAGGCGGGGTCCGGGGCTCGCAGACCCGCGGCGACCGCGGCGGCTGCATCCAGGGACCGCCCCGGAGGGCTGCGCTCCGCTGGAGCAAACGCTGCTCCGCAGCTGCTCCCCGCGCCCCCACGCCCTGTTCCGGGCTCCGCACCTCCGCCCCCCGACCCGTCGAGGGAGGCGATCGGGGAGGGGGTGCCGAAGCAGAGACGCTGGAGCCAGGCCAGGCCCCGGGTCTGTGCGCGCGCTCCGTTCCGCCAGCTGTCCCGTGCCGGGGCGGGGCGACCCCAGCCCCACCTCCAGGGCCCACCCCGACCCCTCCCAGGTCCTTCCCTCCCTGCTTTCCCGGGAGAAACATGGCCGGGAGCAGTGAAGCGGCGCCAGGCCACGGGCGAGGCGTAGTGGTAAAGGCAAACTCCCGATGGATTTCGGGCCGAGTCGAGCGCTCCTCTCCCCTCCCTTCTTGGCACCCTCCTCTTACACTCAAGGCTTGAAGTGCGTTCGGGTGAGCTCGGGCCACGGCTTTGTTCTTCCCTCGCGGCGGGGATCGCTTCCATCCTTAAACCCCACTCCCGGCAAATAGCCAGCGCGCAATCTGACCAAACACTCAACACCCCGCCACCCGGTGTTCTGTGTCTCCCCTCTGGCCCCGGCCCGGAATCCGCTACTCCAGCGGTAAGCCTGAGTCGCGCCGGGTCCCCACTTCTGCCAGCCTCAGTTAATGTGTCACTTCCCCACAGACCCCCGCGGCCACCCGTGGGACCTCCCTCCTCTTGTGCTTCCTCCTGCGCTCTCCAGCCCGGCCCTCTCGCTTTGTCTTCCTTCCACAGGACACTGAGGGTTCTCCGCGGCAGCGAGGACTAAAGTAGCTCAGGTGACGTTTGAGCTTTGCAACCTGCGCGGGGACCCTCGCTGGGGGGTCTCTGCCCAAGCTCCGGGCAAGCGAGTGCCTCTCGAGCTTCAGGTACCTCGTCTGCAGAAGGGACTCAGCACGCGAGGCCTCGCGAGTGATCTGGAGAGTTTATATGTCAAATATGCGGTTCTGTGCCCCGAGAAGAGGACGTGGGATGGTGGGTTCCCAGACCAGAGCCTCTGTATCCCAGACAATCCCTCCAGGAGTCAACCAGAGGGCACCCCTCTCTTCCGTGTCCTGAATCAAATCGAGTTCTGCCCTGTGGCCACTGGCGTCTGCCCGCGCCTCGCATGGAGAATGATTTCTGTAGGAGGCAGTGGTTATTACTGTCAGGTTTAATGTAAAACGTGGTGAGGGTGGCCGGTGGAGCCAGTGTACTACATTAAGATTACTTTTTTTAAGAGATTACCCTGTAATTTACAAATACCAGCTGTACTGGTTAATAATGTGGGTTTTGTAATCAAAGAAAGCACGATAATTTCAAGAGAAACATCAAAGGTGTTTATTCAAAGTAATGTCCATCGCTAGCTACACATTTCCCCATCTTTCAGGTAATTTGTGGATATTGTCCCAGTAGAACTTTTCTTGTTTTGAGGCAAACCATTCAGAGACCCAATTTTCCACTTCTTCGTATGTTTTGAAGTGCTGCTCAGAAAGTGAGTGTGCCATCAATTGGAACAAATGGTAATCTGAAGGAGTAAGTTTTGGTGAATATGGGCAGATGGGTTAATACCTCCCAGGCGAGATCGTTTAATGTGTCTTTAACTGGTTTTGAAGTTGTGATGGTGCGGTATCATGAAGCAAATTACTTTGCCGTGTCTTCTGGCCCCTTCTAGTCGTTTTACAATCAAAGCGTGGCTCAAATTGATTAATTGTTGTCGGTAGCGATCAGTATTAACAGTTTCACCTGGTTTTAGAAGCACACCTTCCTGATCCCACCAAACGCAGAGCATTGTCTTCTTTCCAAAGCGATTTTGCCTTGCAGTCGATGTTGATGGTTGACCTGGATCAACCCATGATTTTGTGCATTTGGAATTCTCAAAATAAATCCACTTTTCATCGCCAGTCACAATTCGATGCAAAAAAGACTTTATTTCGTGCAGTTGAAGCAACATTTTACTGTTGACTTTTCCATTTTCTATTTTTCTTTCATTCAGTTGATGTGGCACCCATTTCCCTTCCTTTAAAATCTTTCCCATTGCTTGTAAACGATCGGAAATTGTTTGCTGAGCAACAGTTAATCTTTCTGCAAGTTGTTTCTGAGCTTGACATGCATCTTCATCCAATAATGCTTGTAATGGTCTTCAAACTTTTTCGGTTGACCTGGACGTTCTTTGTCTTTCACATCAAAATCATCACTTTTAAAGCGTTTAAACTAGCATTCACAAGTATCTTGAGATGGAGCATGTTCACCATAAGGTTCCTGAAGTATACGATAACTTTCAGCAGCACTTTTCTTCAAAATAATGAATTAAAACTTTCTGAAAATGCTCCTTTTTTGGCACGAAATTTGACATTTTTAAGCGTAAAAAGATCTATGATCTTAATACCTTCAGCGAATTTGACTTATGAAGTTTTGAAGCTTGCTGTCAATACAACAAAATAGCATACATATCAAATCGCATATATATCAACATATGTGTAACTCCATCTATTGAAAAAAATCTGCATTATAAACCAGTACACCTGGTAATCTGTGATTATGAATGATTGCATGAGTGAATGGATTGGGGAAGGAAACACCTCATGCTCAAATAGAACTATTCAGGTTGAAATGTGTTGCTCGGTTCTTAATTTAACAGGAGGGCTTTGGCTCTTAAAGGAGTTGCAGCTCATTTATTTAGGCATCCACATACGTTCACTGTCCTGCTGGGTTCCAGGTGGAGTTCTAGGCTCTAGGGATACAGCAGAGAACACGATCAAGCCCTGCCTTCATGGAGCTTACATTCTACAGAAAGGACACAGGCAGGCAGTATGAAAGCAAATAAATAAAGGAGATAGTTTCAGTTAGTGCAATGAGAAGGAAAGAGGAGAACAAAGAGATGGTGGTTGGAGGAGGCTGGGGAGCACTGTTTTTGCTCAGGTGGTCAGGGAGGCCTCTTTTTCCTTGACGTTTGAGCCACCATCTGAAGTATAAGCAAGAGGTAGCCATGGGAAGACTCTGAAGCAGAGTACTCAAGACAGCACATGCCAAGTGCTAAGAAATTATTACATCCTGAGTGTAATGGGGCGACCCGCAGAGACAACCACCAGGGACTCAGATCAAAATTTAGGAGCCTTGATTAGCTGGCCAGGGACTACAGTTACAGAACCCTGCCAAAGCAAGGGCTGAACTGCAGTGCTGACTACAGGAGTTATATTTTATTATTAAATTCTGTGCAGGCCCAGAGAAAAATGTGTCTTTCAAATTCTGGGCCCCCAATATGGAGGAAACTCTCTTTATTTATACTTTTTCCAGTCCTTTGTCCCCCAAATTTGGAATGAGACTTCCAGGCCTTCTGAGAAAGAAGGCCTGCGTGCTGGGAAGGGGCCATGAGACCATATCTCAAGGCCTGGCCTGGTGTCAGCACTGACAACTCTGTCTGGGGCCTCTCTGGAATGGGAGTAGTCTTATTTTCCTTATTATTTAAGACAAAAGCCATACTATCAGGGTTAAAATTTCAAACAGCAGTTTTTATATAAGATGGATACTTCACTGAGAAGAAATTTTACACTGAATTTATATTTTAAAAATGTCACTCTGGCCTGGTTGGTGTGGCTCTGTGGTTGAGTGTCAATCCATGAACCAAGAGGTTGTGGGTTCAATTCCTGGTCAGGGCACATGCTCCATGGTTTTGGGCTCCATCTCCCTCTCCCTTCCTCTCTCTAAAAACAAACAAACAAACAAAAAAACACATATATAAAAATGTCACTCTGTGGAAGGAGATTTGACTTGGAGTGGCGAACACACAGTACAATATACAGATGATGTATTATAAAATTATACACCTGAAAATCTATATAATTTTATTAACCAATGCCACCCCAATAAATTCAGTGAAAATTGAATTTAAATAAAGCCACCCCAGTTGCCATGGAGAAGATGGTCAGGCCTGGGGTTGGGGTGAAGGACATGAAAATATGAAAGGGAAATAAGTTCAGTTCTGGACAGATCAAGTCTGTAGTGACTGACCATAGGGCCTACAGGGCAGTATGCATTGTAAGCAACTTTAAATTCATATTTAGATTTCAGGAGAGTGATTGAATATATTTAGAAATCATCAGCAAGTAGAAAGAGATCTGATGCTTGGGGGTGGGTGGATAGGGATGCCCAATAAAAATGGGGAAAATTTAAAAATTACTATTACAGGTAGAAACCTGTAAGAGGCAAAGTGTCCAGGAGAAGTCAGATCAAGAGACTAAGAATGAGGAGCAACGTAGGAGAGAACAGGAAGGGCGGGAGATGCCCAGGGAAGAGTTTGGAGGGGAGGGTGCAAAGAGGTCATTAAGAGTGTCAGAAAGCCAGTAGAATTAAGATGGAAAAGTGGCCATTGTATTTAACAATTACAAAGCCATTAATAGAAAAGCCATTCCATCAATAGAATGGTTAAATATAGCACTACTATTTAATAATAGATACTCTTAAAAGAGAACGAGGTAAATCTGTATGACTAAAAGGAAAGGTAGATTGTTAAGTCTGAAAAGCAGTGATGGAATCATGTAAACAGCCCAATCTATTTGTGTTAAAAGAAGCCCTCTCAAAAGCAAGGTAATTTTGTGGAAGATGTAGGGAGGCAGTGAGAGGGCCTGCCTTGGTTGAAAATAATCAATTATAATAGAGACAGTTCCTGCATTTATGTCCTTTTCTCCAGTAGAATTCAGGATAAGTAGATTAACCTAAATTGGCCGGAAAGGCAAACTCAGAGTCTCAAGGTGCTGATGTTCGTGTGTGGGATTCTTGGAAACAGAGCTGAGGGGTTAGACTCCCTTCCTCTCTGATGGTGGAGGGGTGGCCCTGAGCCTGAAATTGGCAGCAGCCATGGTCACTGCCCGGAGGAGAGAGTGGGTCACAAAGTGAGGGACTTCGCAGCAGAGAAGAGCAGAGATTCACTTTTTATATGTGTTTCCAAACTGTTTTTCTCCTTGGGGGGAAACCACTTGAAAAATAATGCAAGAAATATTCTAAGCAAAAAATATATTAATGACTTAGAAAGAAGGTTTCCAATATACTGTATCATTAAATGAGAAAAGAGATTTGGATTGAGTTCTGGGGTTTGATGTTGTATAAAATGGCTCAGTTAATGTGTCACTTCCCCAGCTTGGCCATGTTTTGCATCTTCCAACAGAGAAAGATTGTGCTGAATAAACTTAGAGCATATTATCTGTGATACAGAAGCTATTTAAAGACTTCTTGTTTTGATATTTTAAAAAGCAGATTAATAACATAATTATCTACAGTCCACAGCAGTTTCCAGTCCCCCAGGTTTCAGGCATAACTTACAATGCCATTTGTGTGCGATATCAAGGATAACAAAGTAAATCCTTTACCTCTACTCAACAATGACAACTCACTATTCTATTGGCGGTAAGGCCAGTTTGGATTATAGAATAGTTTTTGAAAAATACATTTCTCCTGCTTTTACATTTACAGCTTTAACTAGGGTAATGAGAGCTTGGCAAGCAGGTTTGCGGCACATCTTTAAGTTAATTAAAGCATATCAGTTATAAGTAAACTATTGATGTTTCAGTACATCTAAGCAGTTAATATTTATTACATAAGTACGATAGACTAAATATGGATATGAGTTTTATCTCCATTGTCTGTCTTATTTACTCCTCACAGTAACCACATGAGGTAGGCATTGACTCTACTTTCTAGGTGAATACACTGGGACTCAGAGAGGTTAAAATGCCTAAGATCTCATTGTCTCCAGGTGTATTGTACTTGTAAGTGTATGCTCTTAACCAGCACTCCATCTGCCTCTGTGCTACGGATTACAATTACAGTTTTTATCTATAGGTTGGTTTAATTTGCCATTTTCTTATTTGGGGAGGGGGCATCATTTATTAAGCACTTATTATGCATCAGGAAATGTACTAAGACCTCTAGGAACATTATCTCTTCTATGCCTTAATCCTCACAACTACCCTGTCTATAGGTTTTATGTGTCTTATTTACAGGAGAGGGAAACTGAATCTCAGAGAAAGTAGGTAATTTCTCTAACATCACAGCTTGCAAATGCTCTACAACATGACGTGGAGAATTGTCTCAGATTTAGAGAGGGCAGTAAAGGATTTGCATGATGGAAGGAATGGGTTCAGATGACCATTAGTTAATGATGCCATCACCTGGCTCTGGGAAGTAGGGTGGTTAGTGTGTGTGGTCTGGAAGGGGAGCCAGAAAGAGCTATTTACTTGGATGATCTCCCTGGTTCTGGACAGGGTTCCCATCTGTCTTGACCTTGGCCTGCTAGTGGGTCTTCTGAAAGCTGCTCATGTATAGCTGGTGGTTCAGGCTCTGCCCAGCCACGATGGTATTAATGGTTACAGCAGGCCCGAAGAGTTCTCAGGGGTGGAAGCCAGAGTTGCTCTGTGCAAATTCAATAGTGTACCCAGCCAGTTTGCTGGTAGAGGAAGAGCAATGTGATACTCTTCGAATATACAGATGACATACACCATTGATTAGGAGCCTGCCCATGGTAGATATGAATTTTCAGAGCCTTGAACAGAAGTGCTCTTTATCACAAGGAGACAAGGTTGAGGCTGGAGTTCAGGTAGTATTGCATAATCCGTGAATGGAAACTATGTGTCATTCACTCATTTAACATTTTTGAGCAGCTGCCATATTCCAGGTCAGTGTCCTGGGCTCTGGGGATTCAACCATTAAAAAGACAAAGTCTCTACCAGAAGAAGCTAATATTCCAGTGGGAGGAGACAAGACAAAACACACACACACACACACACACACACACACACACACACACATACACACATCACATCCAGTAGGAATACATGCTATGAAGGAAAGTAAAGCTGGGTAAGAGGCAGACAAGAATGAATGGGTAGGAGGTGGCTGCTATTTTACTTGGGTGGTCAGGGAAGGCCTGTCTGTAGAGGTGATATCTGAATGAAGACTTGAAGTAAGTGAAGGGTAAGTCATGTGGATATCTGGGGGAAGAAAAAACATGGCAAGTGCAAGACCCTTGAGACGGAAGCATGCTTGGCACATTCAGGGATCAGCAAGGAGGACAATGCCTAAAGCAGTGAGTGAGGAAGAGCAGGCTTGAAGACAAGTCAGAGAGGGAAGCCATGGTGAGTACTCTGCATTGTACTCAGAGAAATGGGAAGCCTTTGAAAATAACCGCAGAAGATGGCTATGACATCATGTACATTTTTAAAGGAGCACTTCAGCTGCCATGTGGTGGGAGTATGCATGCCATGGTGGACACAGAGAGGTGAGTTTGGCAGCTATGGCAATAATCCCAGGAGACATATGGTGACACAGACAGAGGGGTGGTCCTGGTTACATTTTGAAGGAATCAATGATAAGATTGTATGAAGGGGACGTAAGAATGAAATTGACAACAATTCTGAGGTTTTTATCTGAGCAACTGGAAAAAGGAATTGTTCTTTCCTGATAGAGAAGGATAAATTTGGGGGGACTATTACAAGTTTTGGATGGGAGCAGGTGGGGGCTGGACCATAAGTTGCCCTTCCAAAACCTGAGCAAAAGAGAATTGTTTTTAAATCTGGAGTGAAAAGGAGAATGGAAAGCGGGAGGATGTCACAGCATTAAATGAGGCCCAAGTGGGTTCTAAAACAGCAAAACCAAACCAGGTGCTGGAAGGAACAGGAGTTTTCTCAAGATGGCAGCAGCCACGGAGCTGGAGCGAACAGGAGGCTTGCGCTGCCCCTGGTGATGGAGGAAGCCAAGCTTCCTGCCTGCCCTGGCCGGTTGTGGGCTCCACTCAAGGCTACAAAGTTTCAATTATAGAAGATAAATCAATCCCAGATACCTGCTTCCAGCCTCTGTGGCCTCTGCTCAAGGGGGGTCTGGGAGCCTGGGTTGCCCGGGGCCGTGGCCAGCCAGCAAACAGCCCTCAGCCCCTCACCCAGACTGGCCACGCCCCCCCACAGCAGGGACCCTCACCCCATGGGGGCATGGCCAGCCTGCAAACCACCACAGGCCCCTCACCCAAGCCACCCCACACCCCAAGGGAACCCCCACCCTGATCCAGGACACCCTTCAGGGCAAACCAGCTGGCCCCCACCCATGCACGAGGCCTCTATCTATACTAATAAAAAGGGTAATATGCTAATTAGACTGGGAGACCTACCAGGAGACCTTCCAGATGTTCTTCTGGACAAAGCCATGGTGGCGGGGCTGAGGTAGAGGAGGTTAGAGGCCAAGAGGGGAGGGCAGTTGTGGGTGATCAGGCTGGTGGGGGGCAGGGCCATTGGGGGTAAGCAGACCAGCAGGGGGGCCAGTTGGAGGCAAGCAGGCCATCAGTGGGGTTCAGTTAGAGGTGATCAGGACAGCAGGGGGGGTAGTTTGGAGTGAGCAGGCCAGTAGGGGGGCAGTTGGGGGTGAGCAGGCCAGTGGGGAGGAAAGGTGGGGCAAGCAGGCCAGCAGGGGAGACAGTTGGGGGTGATCAGGCTGATGGGGGGTGCATTTGGGGAAAGCAGGCCAGCAGGCAGAGTGGTTAGGGGCAATCAGGCAGGCAGGCAGGCAGGTGAGCAGTTAGGAGCTAGCAGTCCCAGATTGCGAGAGGGATGTCTGACTGCTGGTTTAGGCCAATCACTGTAAACCAGCAGTAGGACATCCTTCGAGAAGTCCCAGATTGGAGAGGGTGCAGGCCAGGCTGAGGAACACCCCCTCCCCCCGTGCACAAATTTCGTGCACCGGGCCACTAGTAGTATATATAATACTATAGTAATATATGATATAGTGTATATATTAATATTACAACTATAATGTAGATAGACATGTTATAGTCATGGTAACATTTATAATTAAGGCATAAATTAAGGTATTTTATACATGTACTCTGTGTTCTTCAGTACTAGGTCCTTTATCAAGTTGAATGAAACATTACCTTGTCCCACTGAACTTTTCATAGTTTCACAGAATATAATTTAATGCCATATTGATCATAGGACTACTTTCTGTTTTTGGTATTATTTTGTTTTTCAAATGACACTTTTTTGTTTATTTATGGTTTTAAAATAAATTTCCAATGAAAAAAATGCCATAACCAAAATCATTTGATTTGCAGTTTATGAACGATTGTCCAGAGTATGGCTTGAATTTATTTATATACGCACAGCACTATTATGGAGATTTGGAATATTTCTTCATACCTCATGGCATCATTGTGGACCGGTGATTATTATTTCCTGTGTCGGGCTTGACCCTGTGCTGGGTGGGCTGTCTCTTGAGTGAATCATGCAATACAATTTAAGAGCCTGTTTCTGTATCTCTTTTATGCAGTGGTAGACAGCACTTTTCAGGACAGAGAATTTGAAATACAAACAATCTGTGCTTTACCTGAACAGTTTACCTGAACATTTGTTCAGAGGAAATACTACCCATACATAAAGTATTACATTATAAGTAACAGTCTCAAGATAACAATTGTCCTAGAAAAACTGATGAAAATGGAACTTGGGAAAGCATTGCTTCTCACCCAGGTACCTTTGCCTCACATTTTGTAGACTCTCCAGTTAACCAGGGAGAGTTAAGAGGTGATCTTTGCCTTCATAGGACACGCCCCTAAAGCCCTGGCTTTTCCTGAGAACTTGTATTTATTTCAGAGAAAGTAATGTATCAGAGGCTAACCAGTCTGTGCACAATTTTATTTCCCAGCCAGTGGTAACGTTTTGGGAACAGGTATGTTTGCAGCTTAAAAAGATCTGCACAGAATTCTCTCTGGAATACTATTTCTAGTTCTTTCTTATTTGTCTCCATAGATAGCCTCTGACTCCTTCCTAGCTGACTGGTTTTCCTAAAGCCAACATTTTCTCTCTGTTCTAAGCCCCTAAGTCACCCCTGTTTGGCCTTTGCTTTCAGAGAGACCCCATACAGTTCAGCCCACCAAAAATGCCAAGGTTTAAATAGAGGCCAGGCCCCTTTCACAAAGTGGCCTTAACGCCCAGACTGTTACATTTCCATGTACCTCTAATTTCTAAATTCGTAAGCCTTCACATTTATATGGAGAGCAAGCTCCGTGGGTTTTACAGTGCATTCCCAGAAATCACAGTTCTTCCCAGACCCAGAAATCAGGGTGGGGAGGCACAGGGAAGTAGGAGCAAATGGAGGCTTTGGGCTCCCACTCTACCTCTCCTATAACCATAAACTTAAACTTCTGCCCCCTCCTTTTTCATGTGTTATATTCTTCTGAGTTAAAATTTAACTTTATGAAATAGGTCCTCGGCCAAAAGAAAGTTTGCAATAAACTAGGTGATTACTTCTGTCTGGAAGGAAATGTCATTCTTTCACTCAAATTCTAAAATTTTCACTCAAATTCTAAGACTTGGATATTGTGAGTTCTCTCTCAAACTAGAACATATTATTAAAATAAGGTCTAGTTTGGGATTTCTCATACCTAATATGGCTTTCTCTGAAATACAAGTTCTGATCTTCAGAAGGAAAAAAAGTTTTGTGATCAAATAAACTTGGGAAATTTGCATCTCCCAAATTGCTAAATCTTCCTTTTGACAATTTATATTTAAATATATGGAAATTATGGGGGGGGGGACTTCCTCAACTTTAACAATTAAACCAACTTTTGTTGTACTGTGGGCATCTTTATCGTTGGTCACCTCTTAATAACTCTCAGAAGAATTTCTCTTAACACCAGGATGGAAACCCCATGGTTTAAACAAATTCCTACTTTTCTAACCTGAATTTTATGACTTAAATTAATTGCAACCTGATCTAGTAAATGATTGAGCTCTGGTAAGGTTATCCAAAGCCAGATTCCTGTACAGGAGACTCACCCAGTGAACTTGTCAAAATGTACATTCTTAAGCTTTATGTCCAGAAATTCTGGTTCAAAGGTCTGGGTTGGGGTCCAGGGTGGGGCCCAGGATTGCCCATCCAAACCTTTAAAATGAATTAATTAAGATATAATTTACATACTATAGAATTTACCCACTGTAGGTAAATGATTTAATGATTTTTTAAAGCAAATTTTTAGCATTGGGCAACCATCACTAGCATCATTTTATAATATTTTTATTATTATTTTTCAATATATTTTTATTGATTTCAGAGAGGAAGGGAGAGGGAGAGAGATTGGAGCAGCAATGAGAGAGAATCATTGATCGGCTGCCTCCTGCACGCCCCCTACTAGAGATCAAACCCACAATATGGGCATGTGCCCTTGACTGGAATCGAACCCAGGAACCCTCAATCTGCAGGCCGATGCTCTATCCACTGAGCCAAACTGGCTAAGGCAATATTTCTATTATTTCAAAAAGTTTGTTTGCTCAATCTCCTCTCCTACCCTCAGCATTAGACAGTCGCCTAATCTGATTTCTTTTTCTCTATATATTTGTCTTGTCTGGGCATTTCTTATAAATTAAACTATACAATACTTAATTTTGATTCACCAGTTGATAGATATTTGGATTTCTAATTTGTTGCTGTTATGAACAATGCTTCTATGAACACTCTTTGTGTGGAAATATCTTGTCATTTCTCTTAGATGGATTCCTTGAAGTGGAATTCTGAGTTTTATGGTAATTTTGAGAAATTGCCAATTATTTTCCAAATTGGCTGTACCATTTTACATTTCTACCAGCAATGATGAGGTTTCCAGTTTCTCCACACACTTGCCAACATTTAGTATTGTCAGTTGTTTTAATTATAGCCATTCTAGTGGATATATAAGGGTATCTCATTGTGGTTTTAATTTGCATTTTCCTAATGATTAGTGTGCTTGTTAGCTATTATATGTCTTCTTTGGAAAAATGCCTAAGTCTTTTGCCAACTTTTAACTTGGGTTGTTTGTCATCTTACTGAGTTAGTTGTAAGAGTTCCTTATATTTTCTAGATGCAAGTCCTTTATCAGATATTAGGGGCCCAGTGCATGCATTCATGCACCCTGAAAGGAACTGTGGACTACCAGGCTGCAGTGGGCACAGGGCGGGTCTTGGCCCATCCTCTGTGCCCCCACCTAGTCCTTCCCTCTGTGGCCCCTGTCTGCCAACAGCCCTGCTCTCACCACCACCACTCCCATGCACTGACAGCGCCAGCCCACTCGCACCTGCTGACAGAGGAGAGCAATTGGAGCTGGTGCCAGCAACGGGTGTGAGCGGGGCCAGTGTCCTCAGTGGGTGTGAGTGGCAGCTGCTGCCCTAATTGCCCCTCAGGAGCAGGGGGAGATGGAGAAGACCTCAAGGGGCAGTTGGGGCTGGTGGCAGCTGCTGCTCGCACCCACTGATGGCGCAGAGTGATCGGGACCAGCACCGGGCGCTGGCAGCAGGTGCGAACGCTGGTGGGACAGCGGTGCACGGGAGCAAAGAATTTTCAGTAAGCACCAGAGTCTTGACCCAATGACAGCAACCAGCGCTCGGCCTTGGTCTGGCGCCCCCGCTCACCTGCTCCACCATTTCGCCACAGCCAATGCCTGCCATGTTCCGTGCTCTGCCACCTGCTGCCCACCATGTTCCACATGCACCCCCTGGTGGTCAGCACACATCATAGCAACCGGTTGTTTGGTTGTTCAGTTGTTCGGTTGTTCTGCTATTCAGTCTATTTGCATATTAGTGTTTTATATATATACTAGAGGCCCGGTGCACAAAAATTTGTGCACTCAGGGGAGGGGTCCCTCAGCCAGGCCTGTGCCCTCTTGCAGTCTGTGACCCCTCAGGAGATAATGACCTGCTGGCTTAGGCCTGCTCCCGGGAGGCAGAGGGCAGGCTCAATCCCTAGGTGCAGCACCTGGTCGGGCTCAGAGCAGGGCTCATTGGGGAGTTGGGGTGCCGCCCCCTGTCATGCACAGAGCAGGGTGGATTGGGGGGTTGCGATGCCACCCTCAGTCACGCTCAGGGTAGGGCTGATAGGGGGGTTGGGGCACCGTCCCCTGTCACACTCAAGGCAGGGTCGATGGGGAGGTTGCGGCGCCACCCCCTGTCATGCACAGAGCAGGGCCAATCAGGGGGTTGGGGCGCTGTCCCCTGTCACTCACAGAGCAGAGCCCATCAGGGGGGTTGGGGCTCCGTACTCTGTCACGCACAGAGCAGGGTCAATCAGGGGGTTGAGGAGCTCCCCCCTGTCACTCACAGAGTAGGGCCGATAGGGAGTTGGGGCACCGCACCCTGTCACACTCAGGGCAGGGCCAATGGGGAGGTTATGGCTTTACCCTGTCACACACAGAGCAGGGCCGATCAGGGGGTTGGGGCGCCGCACCCTGTCACACACAGAGCCGCAGGGTGATCAAGGTGTTTGGGCGCTGCCCCCTGTCAGGCTGATCCTGGTGCCGGGAGGCCTCACTGCTCCGCTGATCCTGGTGCTGGGAGGCATATTACCCTTTTACTATATAGGATAGAGGCCTGGTGCATGGGAGGGGGCTGGCTGGTTTGCCCTGAAGGGTGTCCTGAATCAGGGTGGGGGTCCCCACTGGGGTGCCTGGCCAGCCTGGATGAGGGGATGATGGCTGTTTGCAGCTGGTCACACACCCTTCAGAGTGGGGGTCCCCACTGGGGTGCCTGGCCAGTCTGGGTGAGGGGCTGAGGGCTGTTTTCAGGCTGGCGGGTGACTGAAGCTCCCAACCACTCCTTTTTTGCTTTTCTTTTTTATTCTGGACCAGCTTTAGCTCTGAGGCTTGGCTCCAGCTCTTAGGACTCAGCTGCTGAAAGCAGGTATCTGGTTTGTTTAGGTTCTATAATCGAAACTCAGAACAGCTCTGAGATCCCAGCTGGCTGAAAGCAGGTTTCTGGGGTTTTGTTTAGCTTCTATATTTGTAGCAATGTTTCAAACTGCAAGCTCAGAGGCCGGCAGCGGCAGGCGGGGAACGTTGGAGTCCTCCGTCACTGAAGCAAGCAAGCCTCCTGTTCGCTTCAAGCTGCCTGGCTGCCAGCCGCCATCTTGGCTGGCAGTTAATTTGCATATCGCCCTGAATAGCCAATGGGAAGGGTAGCGGAGTTATGGCTAATTACCATGTTTCTCTTTTATTAGATAGGACTAGAGGCCCGGTGCACAAAAATTTGTGCACTGGCGGGGGGAGGGGCTGTCCCTCAGCCCCACTTGTGCCCTCTCGCAGTCTGGGACCCCTCGGGAGATAATGACCTGCTGGCTTAGGCCTGCTCCCGGGTGGCAGAGGGCAGGCCCAATCCCTAGGTGCAGCCCCTGGTCAGGCTCAGAGCAGGGCCGATTGGGGAGTTGGGGCACCACCTCCTGTCATGCACAGAGTAGGGAGGATTGGGAGGTTGCGATGCTACCCCCAGTCATGCTCAGGGTAGGGCTTATTGGGGGGTTGGGGCACCAGCCCCTGTCACACTCAAGGCAGGGTCGATGGGGAGGTTGCGGCACCACCCCGTCACGCACAGAGCAAGGCCGATCGGGGGGTTGGGGAGCTCCCCCTGTCACACACAGAGCAGGGCCGATCAGGGGATTTGGGCGCTGCCCCCTGTCACGCTGCTCCAGGGGCCAGGAGGCCTTGCAGCTCTGCCGATCCCAGTGCTGGGAGGCCTCGCGGCTCCACTTGACACCAGGGCAGTGAGGCCTCGCTGCTCCACTAATCCCGGTGCTGGGAGGCATATTACCCTTATACTATATAGGATAGAGGCCTGGTGCATGGGTGGGGGCCGGCTGGTTTGCCCTGAAGGGTGTCCTGGATCAGGGTGGGGGTCCCCACTGGGGTGCCTGGCCAGCCTGGATGAGGG